TCCCTTTCCCTGGCAGCAGTGCTTGCTGCATCACTGCAGTGGATGTTGGCTGTTAGAAATGATTTAGTTAGAGGCAGGATAGGCTCTCTTCTGGCCTTTTTGCTATAACAGGGTCAACTTGTACCCCTGTCATCACAGTAATCTAATGTAACCTGTATATAAAATTGAGATACATATGGAAATTATATAACTCTAAAAACACATGGACATCATGTGTTTCAGACACAGAATATCTTGAGACAAATAACAGTGATGTTCTCCACAGAGAAACAGAAAGGTATTTCTTAATGTTTTATTTATGTTTTCATCTATTAAAGTTAAAATTATTTTTATAGGAAAACTATCCTTTGTTAAAGGTTTGAGGGTGCCTGAGGGTTTTGTGGTAAGTAATAGCGTGCATATTGCTACTACTATTTAAATATTAATTGCCACCATTTATTGAAGGACTGTAGATTTTAAAGGCCAGATTTGTCCTGTCTCATACCATGCAAGTCTCATTAAATCTCTAATGAGAATCTGATCCAATAAAAAAACTTTTCTCCACTGATCCTAAGCACACCTTTTAAGACAATTAACTTGGCTCAGTGTTCTTATTTGATCTTAAACAGGAACCGTGTTCCTTTGAAAAGGATTTATTGCATCCATTTGAATCAATAGTGCTGTTAAAAGGACACTGGGAAAGGAAACTAAAAATGCCATATGAGGTAAATCAATGAGAAAAGATAGTAAATTTTATAGAAAATACAGGAGGCAAAATTGACAGTCCAAGTCTCAGCCAAGGCCTCGGTTCTGGTGCAGAGATGGACAGTGTAAGTATTGAATTAAAGCAGCTCAAACCTCCTGCAAGGCACAGATCACAGTAGAGGCTGAGAGGCGCAGTGAGAGCAAGGAAATATCTTGGCAGATTCTGAATGCCTGGAGTGCAGTGTCTGCTGACAGTGCCTCTGCCTGAAATATTTATAAACTGTGGTACTGAGGGTCTGGGAACACAGGCTCCTGTGGCAGGTGGACACATCTCCCTTTGGATCCTGTCTCACCAGTGGGAGAGGTGACAGTCCCTGCTCTTGTCACTGCCTCTTGCTGCCACTCAAGTCCCAGTCAACCCCAACAAGCCCTGGGCTAAAGGCTCCTGAGGGCTGGTTGAGCTCGTGCATCCCCTGGGCAGGTCTGGGCTCATCCAAACCACACAGACCCTTCACAGAATCACACAATCAATTAGGATGGAAAAGACCTCTGAGATCACTGAGTCCAACCTATAATATGAGGAGCAGCAAGAGGGAAAAGGAAAAAAGGGAAGGAGAGGAGGAGAAACATTTAGGAGCAGCGACAGGCAGCTCATGTGTGTCCTCACAGAGGGATCGTGGTTAGAGGTACAGCCCCAAAAGAAGGACACGTGGTTTAGTGGTGCCAGTCTGGGGCTTTGCCTTCAGCTCTGCTGCTGACAGCTTGATGAGCAAATTATTTCATGTAGCCATGGAATTGTCCTACTCCTTGGAAATATTAGTACTAATTGTGACTAGTACATGGAGCTGTTTAAGCTAAGGATGAAAAGCCTCATATATGAGCACTCAGATGGTGTTATTTTTATTAATAACAGTGATGTGCCAGAGCGATCCCTTGCCGTGAGTTATCTCTGACAGCCACTTGCTTTCTTTTTCCAGTTCTTCTCTTCAAAACACAGGGGAGGTCCCTTGAGTCACATCCCCACCCTCAGGCACACAAGTCACCTCAAGGTGGGAATTTGGCTCCCACGGATCTGCTGTCACTTTGGTGCAGCAGCTCCCCTGGACACAATCCAGAGCACGTGGTGCCCTGGCCAGGCTGAATGCAGGAGTTCCTCCAATGCATCCCAAAATCTACACCCAAATAACCCCCCAGACAGCCTGTGTTCCAAACAGAAGACAGCTGGCAGTCTTTGACTTCAGAACAGTCAAACAGCCTTGTGTTTGCTCGGGTTTTTCCTCAAGCTAATCAGTTAATTGGAGTTAAGTACTCTGAGACGTTACACATCCCTCTTCTCCTAATGAAGAGGCCCCGCCACAGCCAGGCTGCACAGTCCCCTCACAGCTCCTGTCCCTCTCACGTGCTCGGAATGACAACATAAGGAACTGTGGTGACAGGACAAGGGGAATGGCTTCAGTAGGGTTAGACTGGTTTTCAGAAAGAAATCCTTCCCTGGGAGGATGGGGAGGCCCTGGCACAGGCTGCCCAGAGAAGCTGTGGCTGCCCCATCCCTGGGAGTGTCCAAGGCCAGGTTGGACAGGGTTTGGAGCAACCTGGGCTGGTGGAAGGTGTCCCTGCCCATGGCAGGGGGTGGGACTGGATGATCTTTAAGGTCCTTTCCATTCTTTGATTATGATTCTACTCTGTGCTGTGGCCTGAAATGCTCTGCAGCTTTCTCTGAGGCTGGCATGATTTTTTTATGAAGACCAAATTAATTCAGAAATATGAAAAGAATGGAAATAAGTACAAATATGCCAATTTATGCATTTAGCACTCCTCACAGCATTTTTTGATTTCTTCTTTTTCTTCATTGCCCCCATCCCCTCAAGCAACTCAGGGTTGTTCTATTTCATTAACAGTTCAAATGCCTGGTGAATTCTTCCAGAACAGCCTCATAAATTCTCGTCCCAGGTACAACTGGGTTTTAAGTGCACTGTATAGGTTTATCCTTATTGAACCACGCGTCTCACCATTTTTGATCTCTGCAGGCTGAGATTTCAATATTAATTGTGACCGTAAACCTTTGTTTTTATGAGATTTCAGAATCCCCAAAATATTTGTTTCCTTAATTCATCAAGATCGAGAACCTAGGAACAATCGCAACACTGGGACATTGCAAATGGTAATTGGAGGCACAATTTGATTTTATGAGCCATGTGGATTGAAATGCCTGTGCTTGCACCAAGCCCTGAGTCAGGGATCAGCCAAGGGTTGGTGACAGCCCCTGATTAATCCCAGCCAGGCTTTGAGCCAGAGGGAACCTGCGGCTGGAAGCTCCATCTGCAGTTTCCAGCCCCACAGGGCCCCTGGGATTTTACTCTGGGGTCTGGTGTTCCTGGGCATGAGGCAAAGCAATCCATGGATTCATAGCTCTCTGGGGCCCTTTGTTTTTTTTATGTTCCTGATAAAATACTATCCAAGTATGGATGTTATTTAAGCAGGCGGTTTTTAAGCAGAAAAAAAAAAAAATCTTCTGGGTTGTTTTTTTCCCCCTAATCTGCCACAGAAATGAGAAATCCTGGAGACCACGGACTTTGCTGAAGATCAGCTCACTCCTAAGAACGTTGCCCAACCAGTTCTTTCAGAGCTGGTTCTTTCATAAAACTTTATTTCTATAATCTCTTTTTTTCCAGCATGAATCCTGGTAAGATGTTTTAGGCAGCTACATTTTAATCTTTAGCATTAATTAACTTGGTAAAGTGGAAAGTAGCAGAAGCATGGATGACAATACTAATGAAAGTAATAAAAACAGATTAATGACTAAATCCAAAGAAACAGAACCCTCTGCCTCCCTGCAGACATGGGTATTAATGAGATTTCCTTTGTTTCTCTCTGAGGGTGGGCAGTTTCTCCCACCCCACAAATCTCTGTAAGTGCCAAAGAGTTTTGTTTATTTTGTGCCTGGTTCCAGTTAGAGCTTCAGGCAGAAACTGGTAAATACTGTGAAATATGGCTGGAAACAGGAATTTCTGACCTCACAGTAAAATGACACACCAGTAACCTTAATGGGATTTTTTTTTCTTGAGGTGACCAAAGAGGTTGCTTTACCTGTGGGTATTTATGCAAACTGAGACTCTGAGATTGCTTTGCGTGGGTGGGAAAGACAAGCAGAAAATTTTTCAGTATTTACCCAAATTGTTAAGGAAATTTAAATAAATGGAAATGGACAAAGGAGGTGAATTAGGGAGATGTGCCACACCAGCTGCTGGCCTGGTTATTTGTTCAAATAAATAGGACCAACAAGTGTCTTGAGGGCAAATTAAATAGAATCTTGAGTTAGCAATGCATGGAAACAGCTACTGGGGATTCCTGATGGCTTTCCTGATGTCTCACAGTTTGTGTTGAGTGCACTCTTCTCTCCCTGGGTTTCAAAAGGCAAAACAGAGACATGCCACAGCCTCTTACAGTGATGATGGGGCATAACAGCATCTCAGTGTTGGTCTGTCAGAGCCTTTGTCAAGGAAAAGGTGGCGATGGACTGAAAATTTAAAAAAAAAACCCCTGTACTCTACATTTCTGTGTCCATGCCTTAGGGAAGCAGACAAGGTTGATGTGCAAACTCCTTCTGTTAATGACTTGTGATTCTGCAGCAACTCAATCTGTTTCCATAATGAAGCCTTATTAATGGTAGTGGCAGTACTCATACCAGTGTAATTAATAATGCTGTTTATATCACCAAGAGCCAGTCACTGCTTCTGCAGAAGGATCGATATCTCACAGCAGATTGACCTCCTCCCCTCACTGGGCAATGGCTTGAACTTGTTTTCACCTGAACAGCTCGTTGAGGATGATGCTCAGGAGCTTTGTCATGGGGGGAGAGCATCGAAATCCGGCCATCACCAACCACAGCCCCGTCAGGAGGGCAAAGTCTTGGGGCCAAGGCTCCATAATTGAAGTTAAATAAAGTTATGCTTCTAAATGAAGCTCTCTCATGCCTCTGAAAGGGGAGCTGGTTCTCAGGAGTAAATCAGTGTGACCAGCACATCAGTTATTTCATGTGTAAGTCAAGACCTTCCACTTAGATGTAGGAAATAGTGGGTGTCACAGTAAAAATGCCATTTATAAAACCAGAGAAGAGGTTCAATCATTCCCAGCAAAGACATTTCTCTTGACAAGGTGGACTCCATAGGGATGAAAAGTGTGTGAAATTCTTTATTTCATTAGTACTTCATGATACTTGTGTAAAGAAGACTCAAACATTTTAACTTGTTAAATTCTTTCATTTTCTGGTGTGGTTTTTATTTTATTTTTTATTTTATTTTATTTTTTTATATCAGGTCCTTTCTACCCAGATGACTGGAGAACTGAAGCAAGAAATACTGTGCAAATAAAGGCTGATCAACGGTGAGGGTGAGAACTTTTTTTTCAAACAATTTGAAGTCCTTTGGTTTTTCTTAGTGCTGCTTTAATTCAGACTTCTGAGAATTGCTGAGGCATAAGAAGTCTTTGTTAAAATTCATTCCTTCTTTCCCTTTATTTAAAGAAGGAGAAATAAGAGAGTGCTGATGAGTTACATGGGAAGGTCAGAATTGATAGCGGCTGTAAAGCAGAACAAAACAGCTTTAAAACCTCATCCCTTTCTGGTCATAAATAAAGAACATGATTTCAATTATTTTTCTCTTTATGGACCTGTTTTAAGTGAAGATTTTTTATTATGTGCACTTTCTCCTCTGAAAACGAAGTAGGGTGATCATATAAAATAGTCCTTCCCTTGGGTAAGCTTTGATCCATGAATTCTGACAATCCAGCAGTCAAGGCTTATCTCTTCATCCCTGGGCTCATGGGTTGTACCTTGCAGAGGGTTGTCCATGTGCAGTGCACAGCCAGAATGATGTCCCAGCCCCATTTGTGTTGTATAAAAACAGGGTTTTGGTGACAAGACAAGAGGGTCCCAAGGAAAGAGCTGGGAAGGGCAGCAGAGCCTGGCTGAGTCGGCTTTGCTGGGAGCTGGTTTGCTAAAGACAGCCCGAATGAATTCAGAAAATTTGTGCTCCTGAACTTTCAGCCACTGAAAACTCGAGATCTCAGCTATTTCCCCACAACAGGCCTGCCTTGGTCTCTCTGAACCAGCAGTGAGTGCTGGCAGGGAATGAGCTCTGGGTTAGACAGTTGTGACAGCATCAGCTGAGACCTGAAACAGCTTCAGTCAGGCTGTTGTGGAGATGTCCTGTAGTGCTGGATCAGTGCTCAGTGCTCTACAGATCACAGCCTTGTTCAAAGTAGAGCAATAGATGAAAATCCCACTGTATCCCCCCGGGAATCCGTGTTCTCTCGGTTTTTACTGAGCTTATCAAATGTTGTGGTAGCAGAACTGCTCTCTGACTCCACAGCTTCAGGGGAGAGGGGAGAACAGGAGGAGAGAGAAAAGCTGTCCTTAAAATCAAGAGATTGAACTGCTAAGTAGGATAAAGAGGCGTAATGTCCAGGTACAGTAGAGCTCCTGAACAGCCAGCAGGTAGTTGTGATATTGGTACACACAGGAGCAGAGCTGGAGTGAGAACACGACAGGCCAAACTCAGCCCTGATACAACCAGAGGAACAGGAATGTGAAGCTGGGCTTTCTTCTATCCAGGAAAGAAAGGTGTATTTGAGTTCTGGTCTATTTATTGAATTAGACAAACAGTATAGCTCACATTTCCCTTCCTTCTTCATTCACACCTTGGAGCATCTTTTGTCTTTCTTCTCAGGCCTTCGTTTCCCATTCTCCTGAGCCACTGGCAGCCACCATTTAATCCTCATTTACCTCTCTCTGGATGAGGGCATTGGCCCTGCAGCTGGGAAGGCTCTCACAGCCAGCACTGAATGCTGGATGAAGGTCTGCAGGAATTACCTGAGGCCTCCTACTGCAAGTGGATTTTTGAGAAAGAAGGTGAGTTTGGAGATGACAGCAGAGCAATGCTTGTGTTTGTGGTTCCTGGCCTTGCAAGGTTCCCTTTGGCCTGAACCATGTGTTTGGGGTTTGAGCTTGTGCTGAGCATCAGTCTCCCTTTGCCACCCACCTTCTGTCCAAAGAGCCACCTCAGCATCTTCATGGGGTCCAGGATGGGCACAGAATTTGCTGGCTAATGCTGCCAGAAATAGCCAGGGGGTCTCCTCCAGAGATGATGGGGCTTGGTATCTGGGAGTCCCTCTGTGGCAGTGGCCGCTTGAGGGCTGGTCCGAGCTCTCTGCAGTCAACAGGAGGATTCCTCTCACCCTGTTGGGTGCAGATCTGGCCCCAGCTCATTAACCCTCAGCAAGAGAAAACCACCTGCTCCCTCCTGCAGGTAAGTGCAAGTTTCACTCCCCAAATAATTAACCTGGCCACGTAAACAAAGTACACGCAAAACAAACTGCTGAGGTTTAATAGCAGGCATGACATTTGAGCCTACAGTTAATGAGCTCCCAGCCTACAGCAAGCCTGTCCTTTGTCACTGAATGTCTGACTTGAGGCTCTGTGGCTTTTCAGCAGGAGCCCCTGGATGTCCCCAGGGACCACGATGGGCTCAGGAGCCACCCGGGTCCCACACATGCCTCGCACCAGGGAGAAGCACTGCAGGCCCCTCTAGAAATCAATATTTCATGTAAAAGCCCTGCAACAATGACTCTCCAACATGCATATATAAATAATTAGTGTGGTTATAAGTTGGCTGGTTTGGTTTTGATTGACTGTATGTATGTATGTATTGACTTTGAAAACGACGCCAAACTTTCCTGCTAAATCCGAGGAGCTGACTTTCCCTCTCCCGATGGTTTCCATGTGCCGAGCAGTTTGTTAACAGACTATCCCTAAGTTAGAGAAGGAAAAGACTCCCCTCTCGTGGCTGCGAAGGAAAATGGCATGTTCTGCACTGTACTCTCCACGTAGCTGTAGAGAAACATAAATAAGTTATAAAATTCCAATCATCTTCTGCTCACACCCCAGCACGGAACCTTGGCAGCTTTGCTGGGGTTTAGCAGCCTCTTCCCTGTTTGCTTCAGGGCAAAAGGGAAATATTTGGGGAGAACTGATGTAAGTTATTTAAATGATAACTAAAAGTCATGATCTATATCAACAGTCAGAAACACTGGAGTTGAAGAACAGATTTAAAGCTGTTTCGCATTTGCTCTTTTAAAATACTTTCTTAGTAAATGTTGACTTTTATGCGTTGGATTTATTTTGCTCCATAAAGCTGCTCTCAGAGGAGAGACCTTATAGATAAATGTTCAAACCACTCTGTAACTCAGTAGGCATTTATTCAGATGACCAGGTTTTCTATTTTTATTAGGCTAGAAATGCTGAGAATCATCTGTTATTTACAGGACAGCTGATTTCATTTCCAGTTGGTGTGAAACTGCTTCTGAATAAAACCTGAGATTTAATTTAAAGGCCATAAAAGCAGCAGCTTAGAATTATGAGTTAAAAGCACTCTTTAAACACTTTGGGTGCATCAGGAAGAGAAGCAGTAAGTTCTTGTAGGCACAAATGACAATTAAAATTAAGGCTTTTAGGAACCAAGGGGAGTTTTTCTCAAAATCAGTAAACCCAAGTGCTTTTTTCTCACCAATGTGTCTGCCAGAGTTTTAGAGCTCACAGGACTCACACCTCATTTGTGGGATAAATGTGAAGAAGAAAACAAGTTTTCTTGCTTTTTCAGCTCATTGCTGGTTTCTCAGTGTTGAACAACATACTCATTGAGCACAGATATGCTGAAACTCAAATACACTGAATTTCCCCCTCTTCCTTCAGCATAACCAGTTACTACTCAAAGTAAAGCTAATTTACACATTTAAATGTCCAACTTCTTGGAGAATTACTTCCTTCAGGCCACTTACTTGACTTTCTTTACAATATCAGCAGAAATTATGCAGAATTTGAAAACTATATAAGTAGTTTACAAAAAGTTTAAAATAGCTGATGTTAAATTTATGCCTCAATCTAAGTTGTTATTATTTCACATTTCCTCTTCAAATTTGCATATTCTTAGAAGAAACAGTTAAATGATCTGCAGGTCTTTTTTCCTTAAATCTGTATTTCATCTATTGTAGAGACACTTAAATTCCAGGAAATAATTTGATCCTTGGGATTTGATCCTGGACCTACAAGAAAACAGTAAAAGTTTTGGATTCAAGGCTACAGTCTTGGATGACCATCAAAAGGAAATATAGAAAAATGTAGCTCAGGAAAAAGGCAACCTGAAATTAGAACTGTTGTTAACACAAATAGAACAGATTCAGATTTTAGCTTTAACCCTGGTGCTTTTTTAATACTATTTTGAGGCTAAAATGGGAAGCCTTTTATCTAATGAAAATCCTAATACAAACAATTCCTTTTAAATTTCTAGATTTTTCTGTTGAGGAAGACTTATGATTTTCAAATTTGCAGCGTATCTATTTCTGTTGTTGTTAAAAATGATATGCATTCAGCCCAATACTTTGACACATAGGGTAGAACTGTTCACTTCTCATTATTACTCCGTGGAACTAAACCCTGTCATTTTCCTTATGCTGAGCAGATCTATTTAAAAAGATCTGGAAAAGGTCTGGAAGTGGAATTGATCTCAGAGTTAGAGCAGGAACACAGCATTTGTGTGAGTGTCAGTTCTCAGACTGATCAGAACACTGGTTTTGTGTCCTGTCTTTGGCCACGTTCTGCAGGGCATCACTCGGTACCATCGACACCAGTTTGACTTTCATTGGTGTCTTCCTGAGGCTGAGGCACCTTCACAGGGCAGTGCCACCAGAGAACTGAGTGTTCCTCTTCATTTACAAAACAGACAAAAATCTGCAGCTTGTGGAGCTGGAAATGTCTCCAAAGGTATTTGATGTGTTTAGTCCACATACATTATGCATGCCCTCAGCTACACTGAGGGCTTCTCAGGAGATGCAACTATAACCACACTGCAGCCAACTGTTTATGCTTCCCTCTGATTAATAAATATACTCCAGAGAAGGCAATTTTAGACTTCTGCCTTTGGAGTCAGCCTGATCTCAGTAAACACTCCACAAGGTGCAAAGGGCACTTGAGAGCTCTGCAGTTTGCAGCTCACCATGGAGAGCTGTGAAGCTTCTGTGCTCATTCCCTGCCATCCTGATTGAGATTTCAGGAAGAATTTCTTCACTGAAAAGGTTGTTAGGCATTGGAAGGGGCTACCCAGGGTCCCCATCCCTGGAGGTGTCCAAGGAACACCTGGACGTGGCACTCAGTGCTCTGGGTGACAAGGTGGGGATCGGACACAGGTTGGACTTGGTGATCTTGGGGGTCTTTTTCAGCCTTAGTGATTCTGTGATTCTCAGGGCTTTTCAGATCCTTTGCAGGTTTTATTTCTTTTAAGAATCAGCTTGAAGGGTTCTTATATCCCCACTGAAAATAGAAACCAGCAGCCTTGGGGATGTGAGAGGTTCAAATGAGGGCCATGCTCTTCCCTTGCTGCCACAAACCAGCCTTGCAGAGGAGAGCCCTCCCCACCCATTCCTGCTGCTCAGCATCCCCTTCAAAAGCTTTTTTGGGAGCTAGGAAGATGCATTTAAGCCATCCAGCATGGAAATTTGGGTTTGCCCCTTAATGCTTTGTAAAGGGTAAAACCTACAGCATGTTTGGTGCCTCATTACTGTGCCCAGGGACACACGACATGTGACTGGGGCTCCTCTGGTGAAATGAGCTCCAGAGCACAAACTGCTGCTCTGCTCTACATTGAAGCAATAATAATTTATGAATCTAATTAGGCTCTGGTTTGCAAGAATGATGAATATTCACATTCTAAATAGCTGAGAAACATTAAAAATGTATGACAGCTTTACTTGGGCCAGCTCTGAGGGTTCTGGGGAATGTTTTCCTGAATGTGCTGAGCTTTCTCAGCATCATTTTTGCCCCATCCCTGGAGGTGTTTAAGGCCCGATTGGATAGAGCTCTGAGCAACCTGGTCTAGGGGAAGGTGTCCCTGCCCATGGCAGGGGATTGGAACTTTAATGTCCCTTCCAACCCAAATCATTCTGTGTCTTTCTGCTCATTCAAGGGCTGGTCTAGGGAAGAGGGGTGTTCCCCTGATGCAAGGCAGCACCTACAAATGCAGCCTCCGTGCCCCTTCCAAAAGCAGCAGTGGTAGGACTGCAGCAGTGAAGGTTTTAGACCCTCTGGGACAATCTGGTCCATTGCCATAGCCAATATCCAAGCCCTTTTCTCCTAGGTGCATTTTTGAGAACTGGATTTCTTAAAAGGGAAGTTAAGGATAATGTTTTCCCAGTAACCTCCCCCTATTGCTTATCTTACTTGGAGTTTGTGTATTTGAGCTGGAAGGATTTGCTAACTCCTTTTGCATTTCACATTTAATTTTATGCCTTTTGCTCTAATAAGAGATCAGCAGTCCTGCTGCCCTTAATAAGGTGTTTAATTTACAAGTTCTAAGTTGCCTACAGAGCTCCACATTGTAGGGGAAGTTTGTCACTTATTTTTTTATCTCCTTCTAATTGCTTTCCATATTTTGCTTTGCTGGCATGAGGGCACAGTATTTGATTTGCTTTTGTTGCAGCAGTCTTTATGTAAGACCCAAACAATATTTTACCAGCTAAATGACCAGTCAAGATTGAATTAATACCATGGGCTGAACACTGGTCTGCTGGAGAGCCCATCATGAAAAATTAATTTGAAATGCAAAAGGAGGGAGTTGTGGTGGATTTTTTGTTTGCTTTTTTTTTGTTGTTGTTGCTATCAATATAAGTATCAGGCTGAAGGAAAACAAACATTTCTGCCTTGCAACTCCTTGGCAGAGCAGCACAGAATCAGCACCTCAGGAACTCTGAGCCTACTGTTTATGAACAAAAATTGGGTCAGACCACCTGGAATTCAGCAATTATAAATTGCAAATAAAAATTTGGACTAAAAAATTGATGATCATGGGAACTATCTATCTG